AAACCGATTAATCGTTGTTTATAAAGGAGCTTTTCATGAGGAACCTTGTCAAAGGCCTCGCTGAAGTCGACAAAAATAACATCCAGGCGTTTCCCAGCGTCTAATGATTCCGCCCATCTTTCACGGGGCACAAGCAGATTCGAAGAACATGAGCACGCCCGCCGAAAACCATGCTGCGCACATCATCATCACATCATCATCATTATACATGTCAGCTAGAGATGGTAAAACACCTCCGCTATTGTACCGCAATACATAAAGGAAATACATACATACATACAATACATAAAGGAAAAATAAATACGACAGTTGAATGCCAGCTGAGCTACCAGCAACGGATACGCATCGCTCCGGTAAGCTACTAGCCGGCTACTAGGCAAAAACAAAAATTTAATTACGTTTTACCCTACGAAATAAGATCGTAGATGGAGGGGGAGGTAAAGGGATGGGGAGGGACAAAGAAACTCACAGCAGGAACGCCACTGAGGTCGGCTCCTTGCCATATCAGCAAGTGTATCCAGCCAAACGTGTTCACCGTCTTTTGGACCCCAACCAGGGAGCCGTGAAGCTCCAACTGAGGCCAGCTCCGAAGTGAGGGCCTTCATTCCTCTGGACCAAGTCATCGCTTGGCCACCTCTCCTCTTCTTCCACCCACATCCCCGGTGAGCAAACAACGCACGTCGAGGGAGTCGGTGGGCTGGCATGCGCAACACGTGGCCCAGCCATCGGAGCCTGGTGAGTGAAATGACGGTGCTGAGCGGTTCATTCCCTTTTCCTAGGCCGTAAATAAGGCGTCGAACACGCTCGTTACTCACGCGGTGTTCCCACCAGATGTGAGCCAAACTGCGAAGGCACCGATGGTCGAACGTAAGTAGCCTCTTCATGTCCGCCGATCTTAGGGGCCAGGTTTCGCAACCGTACAGGAGATGACGTCTAGGTTCTCGAGGTGGAGAAGTGCCCGCTTGAGAATCCTCTCCATTACCTTGCATAATATTGACGTTAAACAGATGGGTCGATAATTGGCAGGATTTTGACGATCCCCTCCTTTGTGTATGGGTTTAACAATCCCCACTTTCCAAGCAATCGGGAGCCGTCCAACTTCAAGAGAATGCCGAAATACCCGGCAAACAGGAGCGGCAATGTAATCGGCCACAATCTTGAGGAACAGCGGATGCAACCCATCAGGACCCGGCGAGGAGTTCGGATCTAATTCACGAATGCCTTTGGCAACAACATCAGCGGTCATTTCTACATGCTCCAACGAAGAAGGGAGTATTGGCACCGCGTCACTGGGAAACGGCGTCTCCATCGAGTAAACAGACGAATATTGCATGGCAAGGAGACTGGCTTTCGCCGCGTCATCGTCAAGTAAACCCACATGCGCCAAGGAATACAGAGCAGGTATACCACTTCCTGCTCTGGTACTTCTCTTCAGGTAAGAGAAAAGTGCCTTGGGAGTTGTCTTGGATTGCACAGCCAAACCGAATTCGTACTTTTGCCGTTTCTCTCGTTTTTTCGAGTTGCAGATATTCCTGGACACTTTATATTCCGAATAGTCAGACTGGGATTGCGTGAGCTTGAATCGGACCCACAGTTTTCGTCTTTTGTTCATTAGGCCCCTCAGTTCTCGATCAATCCATGGAGGACCTCTGGCAAAAGGTCTTTTGTAGACAGGAACGACCTGCTCAACCGAGCGAAATCATTTCGAGTACAAAGAGGTTCCACTCATCGTCCAGATCCAGGGGTTCAGAGTATACTCCAGTCCACAGTACTGGCGGCCGTTTGTAGGCGCTTGGGGATCAACATGCCGAAATTTCTGCGGAGGCGACCTTGGTTGTGGGGAGTAACGTCGTCGAGTCCAGAGAATGAAACCCACTCCGTGATCGCTTTTAACAATGAGCTGAAGAACGGCTAGGCCGGTGACATCTGATTGTGCGGTGAGAGTACAAGGTCAAGATTATTGGGTGTTTGTCCCGCAATTATACGAGTAGGTGTTGTGACATGTTGGAATAAGTTTACATCGATAATCCGTCTCTAAAAGAGCGAAATTCAAAAGCGTTTGAAGAGGGACACAATGCAGTTGGTCCCAGTCGAGTACTCGGGCATGAAGTCACCCAGTAATAAGCAGTCCTTGCCTCTACCATGCATTTGATCGCGTCCAGCAGGCAAGCTCCCGGAACCCAAATGGGGCCCTGTAGACAACACCGACCAGAGAGATCGGCATCCGATCATGAACACGGCCCCATAGAGTTTCGAAGTCGCCATCGCTGCCACAGGTAGCTTCAACCAGATGAGTTTTGAAGTCCGTCTTCCAATAGAGTATCACACCGCCCCCAGGTCTTCCTCCATCGCGGTCTGCCCTGTAAAGGTGGTATCCAAGGATCTGCACCTCCGAGTCCAGGATATCCGAGGACAACCAGGTTTCGGTGAAGGTTATAATATCCGGCCGATTCATGGAGGCAAGCAGCTGAACTTCGTCTAGTTTATTTATGAGACTGCGCACATTGGAAGAAATTACGCGCAGTCCGTTCTTCAACTCTAACGCCCGGGCATTACAAGGAGTGGTCTCCAGCGAGTTCTTGGTGTTTTTCGAAGCACACGAAAATCCACGATATGTAGGTCCGTCTTACCGTTATCCCGACGAGGTCTGAGTTCATCAACCGCTTTCTTCATTTTTACTCGACGCCTTGTTTATGGCACAGGAAAAGGAAATGAACCGCTCAGCATCGTTATTTCACGCATCAGGCTCCGATGGCTCGGCCACGTGTTACGCATGCGAGCCCACCGACTTCCGCGACGTGTTGTTTGCGCGCAAGGGGGTGTGGATGGAAGAAGAGGAGGGGTGGCCAAGCGATGACTTGGTCCAGAGGAATGAAGGCCCTCACTTCTGAGCTGGCCTCGGTTGGAGCGTCTCGGCTCCCTGGTTGGGTCCGAAAGACGATGAACACGTTTGGTTGGACACACTTGCTGATATGGCTAGGAGCCGACCTCAGTGGCGTTCCTGCTGTGAGTTTCTTTGCCCCACCCCATCCTTCTTAGCCTCCCCCTCCAATCACGATGTCATTATTTAGCGTTATATAATTTTGCATAATAATTTTTTTGGTGCACAGCAGCCGGCTGGTAGCTTACCGGAACGATGCCCATCCGTTACCGGTAGCTCAGCCAGCTTGCACCAGTTGCATTTTTTTCTCTTCTTTTTTCTATGTATTGCGGCACAGTAGCTGAGGTGTTCCCCACCTCTAGCTAACGTGTATAATGATGATGATGATGACTCGATCCTCCGGAGGTCTCGTAGTATGAAAAATGGTTCTCCTTTAAGACGCGGAGCTCGTCGGAGAATGCGATGGACTTCATCATCGTTTTGACATACAATCTTCAAGGGACGGACCTTAGGGGAGTCCTCCTGTTTTTTGCCAAGGCGGAAAGCCGATACGATGTTTATTCCTGGCTCACCTTCGTCGAACAGTAAGGAGATCATCCGTTGTAGAAACTCTGGGTCATCCATAATCCCTTCAGCTGGAGTGGTTTTGGACGACTCAGAAGCATTTATGATGATTAGACAACGGCCACGATAGGGTGATTTGTTGTTATCGGCGATTTGCGGTTTGTGGAGAGGATGACCCTCCTTTAGCAGTTTTTCTAGTTGACCGACTCTATCCATAATTAGCTTCAATTGCGATTGTGAAGACAATGGTTTGCGTTTCACCTTGACATCTATCTTGTCCTTACTTTCAGCCACTCGTACTGGCGAGGGCAGTGGCGCACAATCGCTACTGGATATCATCAGTGTGGTAAACTGGATATCATCAGTGTGGTAAACTGGTCGAAGCAATGGGACTTGCCCTTGAATGCAAGCAAGTGCCAAATTCTGACCACTAGTAGAGACGTACTTGCAGTTCAGACTTCCTTTGGGCCCTTCCCCTTACAATGCACTACCCAGGCACGCGATTTAGGAGTCATCATGACGAGCAGCTTCAAGCCTTCGATGCAATGTCGATACGCCGCCAACAAAGCGCGACGAGAATTGTTTCGCCTCAGGAGGGCTCTGTGTAATACCAAGCCAGAAGTGTTCCTGCCACTATACAAAGCAGTGGTTAGGCCACACTTAGAGTATTGTGTTCAAGCTTGGTCGCCCTATCTCCGTGATGATGTTCTTTGCCTGGAGAAGATTCAAAGACTAGCAACCAGGATGGTTGAAGGTCAACGGGGGAAGCCGTATGAAGATCGCCTAAAGAGCCTGGGGTTGTTTTCCCTTGAACGGCGTAGACAGAGGCGATCTGATAGAAACATTTAAGATCATGAAGGGCTTCAGTGCCATCGTGCCCTCTGATTTATTTGAGCTGGCTGATTCTGAACGCTTGCGTGGACATCGCTTGAAGCTCAAACAGCAGAGAGCTAGACTGAACGTAAGAGCTAAGTTCTTCTCAAATCGTGTAGTGCGCAACTGGAATAAGTTGCCTTCGGAACTAATGGATTGTGAGACTGTGGTTGCCTTTAAAGCAGGCCTAGACAGGTGCTGGCCGCGTATTTTTCCGGAATTAATATAATCCTATCCAATTTATTCGTATTGTTATCCGATGTTGATCCTTGTAAAAGCAAAGATTGCTCTCGCTTTTGCTTCATTTCTTTTTGCAGAGGCAAGGAGAGGCGATCAAAAGTCGAAGTGCCGGGGGCTCTGGTTCGCTTACCGGTACAAGAAGCTGGACGCTCGTTAGGCGGAAGCCTGTGTCGTCCACGGATTTTGACCTGACCTTTTTCTTTTTTGACCTGGATGCATAGGTCTTGGTATTTGGGGCTTTATCGTGGTCAACAAACGTCGGCTTACCAGTGGGGGTAACCGGACCAGAAGCTAGTGACGAGAAGCATGGGGATGCCAAGGAGGCAGTATGGCTGATTGCTTCGGCTTGAGCAGATGAGAAACGCGGGTTCGGTGCAGGCAGTCCATCAAGCGGTGTAGTGTCGGTACCTGACTTCTTCGCTGGAGTCCGACCGGCCAGCATATACTTGTAGTTGGGGGGCAGCGGAGGGTCTTTCTGCTTTTGAAGGCGGCTAGTAAAGGGTTCCGAATGTTGTGGTTTATCCGTCATTCTTCTGGGACCCTAACCGCTGAGGTGTTTGTGAAGCTCTTCTCAGCGTTTGTGCGACCCCACCTAGAATATCGCGTCCAGGCCTGTCTACCATGCCTTGTCCGGGACAAAATGGCACTAGAAAGGGTGTTGCGTGTCGGAACTAGGTTGGTCAAGGGATTACGAGGGCAAACGTACCCCGAACGCCTACTTAGTTTGGGGATGCAGTCAATGCACTATCGAAGAATTAGAGGGGACCTAATCCTAACCTACCGTATTTTGACTAGGAAGGTTGGCCCTGATTTGTCCTGGCTATTTAGTACTGCTAGATTGTTTGGTCTCCGCGGGCATTGTATGAAGCTGGACAAACCGCGGTCCGATCGAGTTAGAGCGGAGACACGCTTATTGCGTCGAGTCATCGAGCGCTGGAACCTGCTTCCAGAAAATGTTGTCAAAGAAGCTACGGTTAATGGGTTTGAGCGTCAACTAGATGTTCTTGGGTGGCAACACGAAACCTTTCCTTTTTCCATACTTCGATTCTATTTTCTTTACTTTTCCTCGCCATTGGTATTATTCTCTTCCTTTAACTGATTTCCCCTACTCTCTTACCTTCGATTCTTCTTCCTCTCTTACTTACTTCACGTAACTGACATAGCTGGGACAGCTAATGTAAGGAACGTGGGCATTAAATTGGTGGACCAGGGTTTTTTTCGGGTGTTTTCCTTTTAGACCCATCAAGAAGTCAGAGCACCCCTATCAAATCCTGGATCGACGACCTGCTCAAGAAGGAACACTTACGGGATTCATCCTATCGTTCCAGTCCCACTTGAACCTGAACTTGCACAGAATGCAGACATGAGGGACTTGGACGGATTGGAGGTAGACCATTCGAAACGGGATTGACACTCAGTCCAGCGCGACATTGGTCACAAGTAAAGACGACGACTGAGGAAGTGGTCCTCTGCAGTGGATCGTACAGATCTGCACCGATTTTACAACATGCGACCCTTCGCAGAAGGAACATTGAACAGCCTTCGACCGAGAAGTGACAGCCTTACAGCAATCCAAGCACTTGGATCAACAGAGGATTAACACGTCATATTCAAAAAGTATGTTTAGTTCCCAAACTATGAATCGGGAACAGGACAGGACTCAGGAACGCTATAGGCATCCGCCTTACGCATCAGCCAGCAGAAAAATAGGTCAGGTCAGGTCAGGTCAAAATCCGTGGACGATACAGGCTTCCGCCTAACGAGCGTCCAGCTTCTTGTACCGGTAAGCGAACCAGAGCCCCCGGCACTTCGACTTTTGATCGCCACTCCTTGCCTCTGCAAAAAGAAATGAAGCAAAAGCGAGAGCAATCTTTGCTTTTACAAGAATCAACATCGGATAACAATACGAATAAATTGGATAGGATTATATTAATTCCGGAAAAATACGCGGCCAGCACCTGTCTAGGCCGAGAACGTCCTATCCGCCACTTGGAAATAACGCTCCTTCGGCAGTGTTATCCCGGTACATAGGGTTGCAGGTGATGTGATGTAGATTTGGCGACATTGAACTCATAGTGTTGTTTATTAATGATTGAGTACGCTTGCTAAAATCCTACGACCTCAATTGGTAATCAAGTTACTAAGTGGTTTAAATGCGTTACGATGGTTAATCATTTTCCCGCCTCACGCGTAGCAGCCATGGTGGATGACTCGCTTGCATTCCGACGTATGTTGAAGGGTCCTTATCTGGACTTCGCATCGGTGGAGAAGGATCTGAAAGAGTTTCAGATTAAAACGGCGACATCCTTTGTTCGTCGGAACGTGCAATCTGCGAAGGCGTACGAAAGGGAGACTGGACAGGTGCTACCGGATGGATGCCCATACCGCTATATTCTGTTTGTATGTGTGCATGGGAGGCGCAGTAATGTCACTGGAAAGCGGTAAGTGCATTGCAATTGCCCCATGATAAGATTACTATAGGTACCGATGTTACGATTGCCCTGCGCGTTTTTCTGTGACGTATAAGGGCGAATGTTACGAAATTGGGAATGCGTATCTGTGGCATTCGCACAGCTTCCAAGTTGGGAAGCCTTGGCTGTATGCGAGTAATCGGAGGCTATCAGAAGAGCAGGAGAGGCTGGTGCTTAACTTAATGATTGACTTTAGCAAAGCATTTGATAGAGTGAATCACTTTATCTTGCTATCTAAACTCAACAGTTATGGCGTGGGTGGAAAACTGCTGAAATGGATTCAGTCTTTTCTGGACAAGCGGCAGTGGTGCGTCCAGGTCAATGACTACCGAACGAAATGGTGTACTGCCTCTAGTGGTGTGCCACAGGGCACAGTACTTGGCCCAACGCTTTTTCTGTTTCATATCAACGACTTACCAGGACGTTTGACATCTACTTGCGCGCTGTTCGCAGATGATTTGAAAGTTTGGAGGGAAATATCGACCCCCGTCGATGAAGATATACTGCAAAGTGATCTCGATACAATCTCCTCATGGGCATCAACAAACTGCCTTCCACTGAATGCTGAAAAGTCCGAATTGCTGCGCATTGGCAAGTGCTGTCGGGACAGAACTTACAGTGTCGGTGGACGTCTACTGTGCTCGGCTGTGACGGTTAGAGATCTAGGAGTACTATCCCGATGGGACTTAAAATCGTCAGACAATACGCACAAGGTCTACTGTTCCAGCCTTCGCATGTTTTGGTCATTAAAGCGGACCTTCCACGTTTGGTCGGAGGAAATTGCTGTCAGGCTATACGTCTCCATGGTGCGCCCGCTTTTAGAGTACGGGGCACCGGCCTATTATCCAAGTACAAAAGGCGAGATGAGAAAACTGGAAAAAGTCCAGCACCTAGTCACTCGCCTGATCCCCACGCTCCGAGGCTTATCTTACCATCAGAGGTGCCACAAGTTACGTCTCCACACACTAGTATACAGGAGATTACGAATTGACCTCATTACAACGTTTAGAATCCTTCACTTGAAACATTTTCCTCACCTGCGACATATGTTCTGTATTGTGGATGCACCTATTACCCGAGGGCATTCTTACAAGCTGGAAGTTCCACGTATGGACAATGTCACTCATATTCACTGTTTCGCGCGACGTGTGATACATTTCTGGAACTGGTTGCCCAGTTCCGTTGTTCTTTCTGATTCAGTGCAGTGTTTCAAACGAAGCATTGACAAACATTTTTCAGACTTGTGTTTCGATGCAGACGCCATGTTTGACCTCCTTTCGTCGCGTGGTTATGTCACGGCTACACTAGCAACCCTAAAAGACCAAGACACGTAGTGCTTTCTTTGTGCTTATATATCGGTATTTTGTTTGCTTATTACTAAATGACTATTGATGTGCATTCACACAGACCCATATTCGGCATGGGTCGTTTTTGCTTTACTTATGATGGAGATCACATAGATTCCTATCTTATTCTCCTAATAAATTGATTCTGATTCTGATT